GTAAGTCCTAGAGACCTGATGTATAGCATGGTGACTAAAGTTAAAAATAATATACTGTATCTTCAAATTTATGGCCAACATTGTGGAAGGAGCAGGGTGCAGGGCAAGTAAACCAGGAGAGCATTGGTGTGATATAAAGAGGTGTAGTCAAACTTTTACTTTCCTGGAAAGTTGAGTAAATAGAGAACAAAATCCTCTCACTGGATTTTATACCTTGCAGACAGTGGGTAGTACTGAGAAGAGCGGTTTCCAAGAAGTAGAAGAACAACTAAATTGGAGTAAAGCGTAGATGATGTAAACAATTTCTTTGAAAAAGTTTGATCACTAAATCAAGTACACAACAACTACTGATTGATGCTGGAGGGTGCCAAGGGTTTAAAGGAAGTTTGCTTTTATTTGTGAGACAGAAGTTTAGGAAGCCAGGCTTTAGGGGCTACTGGAAAGATGACAGCAAACATACGTTATTCAAGGACACCTGAGCACAGATTCTGCTTTCATCCCAGTGAGAGGGATGTGGTCCTGAGAATGCTGACTCTAACTCAATAACCTCCTTATGTGGAATGACACACTGTCACTGTAAATTCTGGAATGAAATAGTGATGTAACCTCTGAGTTTTAAGGGGAAATATTACAGCAAGAATGTAGCGTTCTCAACTGTTATTTGATCTGCAGTGCTTCAGTGGGACAGTTAAGCTTAATAATACAGGGAAAAGAGGAGGTAATCAAAAGAAGAAATTCAGCAGGATGTGAGAGGAACTGAATTTGAACTTAAGTGAAAGTTTAAGGAATTAAGGAAGGGAGATCCTTGCTCTACTGTTACAGTACAGGAGGATACAAATGCAGGAAAATACATAGATTTGCTGGTGAGGGAGAAAAGGACACTCAGATTTCACAGCTTCTTACAGATGGAACTAAAAATGATGAGGTAAGGCAATAAAAGCTAATGACAGTCGTTAAATATGTACTGATTGTGCATTACTCCAGGAATGGTCAGGATTCCATTCAGGGGTTCCCAACCCACATTCATGCTCCCAATTTCTAAAACTGCACGTATTATTCTTAGTCACGTTCTTGTCCACCTAACTTCACATCCACTTGCAGAACCCCTATGTGTGTACAAATGCTACTCAATATAAACTTTAAATGATGCTATTACTTTACTCATCTCTTTTATCTATCATTCATTCTCACCTTCATTTTATCATATCAATTTTTAAAAAATACAATTTATTTCCTTTCTGCTCATGTTCATCTAAAGTCTATAAACAGTTCATCAAAACCACCTAAATGATGATTTTTTAAAATTTGGTTTCAAGTCCTATAATCTGTTAAAAAATTATTTTCTCTCAATTGTTACTTAAAACTTAACTTACCTGAATCACTGCAAACATAATTTATTAAGCTTTTACTAAACTCCAAGTACTTTGCTAATTACTTTATCACATTGAATTCTAGAAATCCCATTACATAAGGGTTATTGTTGCTATTATCTGTAGTTTTAAAAATGGAGAAGAAAATTGAAGCACAGACAAATTGAGTTTATAAATAGCCCAAAGTAATTTAAGCTGCAGAGCTGTCTGATGCTCATGTTCCAATAATTACAGTGCGTTGCCTTCCCTGTCTGAAACCTTTCATAGATTATTATCAATCTTACTAAACCTAACTTTTGACTGACTGATGAGGCACTTAATAATCTGCTACCATCTTATCAATCTAACTGTATTTTTATTGCTCCTGCAAATATACTACTGTGTACTAGTAATAAATTCATGTCCTCATTGTCCCAAAATTAGTTTTCCACTCTTCTCTTTTTCTTATGCCTTCTTCTCTCCAAAAATGTTTTCCTTTCCTCTATGCACCAAAGCTTTATCAACACTTAAAATTTCAGCTGAAGTCTCA